TTGATTTAGAGAGTATTTTTATATCCTAAGTACATCATGCAAAACATACATTAAAATTAGAAAATCTAATGTGTAAAATGATAAAAAATAAATCTAAAAAATACAAAGGTAATAACGGATGCTGAAAGGAACTGTAGCTCACATCCTCCAGCTATGATTCTACTTCGTGAAATTAGTTTAGTTTTCTTGCCGTGCTTCACCGGTTTCCATTTATTATGTAATTATCTGGCTGAGCGACTTCTCTTCTTCACTTATCACAAACTTTAAGTCTTGTCAAAACTCAGATAAAAGAGGTTTCACTAAAAAAAATTCCTAATCAAGTTTTCTGTGAAAGACTTCAGCGAAAAAAAAAATTTCTGAACTGAAGTACTGAAAAATATCAACCATGTGGAAAGTTGGAAGCGAACGTGATCGACCGAGTGGAAATATTGGGAAATTCTGCACTCAAGAGTCTTCAAAGAATGGAATAGCAGTATAGGACAATGTCAGCCATCTCCATGGTTTTTCTAATTCTGCATACCACGATTTCGTGCAAGATTATCTTTTGGAATTGATGGCTGAAAACTCGAGACATGCATGCGAGACGCATCAGCGATAACGGTAATGATGAAACCAATGTAGCGAGAATAGAAATTATTGCTTTCCATCTCAGTTAGTGCCTGCTTCAATTCAATAATCGTTGAACCGAGATATGGCAGCAGGCAACGAGGGATTGGTTTTTATAAACAGGTTCTAGTTCTAGATAATAACACAAAAACACGATCGAGATAGTATGCAATATCCGCCACATCCTTATCTATTCATACTCAAAAAACTATGCAAAACCACACAATTTCACCTTCATTTTTGTCTTTTTGAGAATATTTATTAACATACATGTATACAAGTACCACAATAGTATTTATATGATAAAGATACTGATGAATAAAAAATTTATATATTACTGATCATACACAAAAAATTCTGAGGGGTAGTCATGTCAAAACAATTCCACTAAAAATTCAAAAAATTGAAGCGGGAGAGGGGGGCAAAAATCATTGTTAATTTAATCAGATGGATATTGTATACTACAAACAGGAAGCAGTTCTTTCAATTAAACAAGCTTTGTATTTATTGCTTCAGTAAACCAACTAAAAATATATGTCCATTACAAATGTATCAATCTACTTTCTTTCAGCAATGAACAATTCCTTTGTGTTTTTATATCAAGACCATACAAATTCAAAGTGAAATATTTAACCCTAGCTCCTGTAGGAATTAATCTTACAGAACCCATATTGTGTGTGGTGCAGTCCCTCTGCAGTCTGCGCTTACATGTACATGTACCTGTCTCGGTGTTCCCAATGCATTCATTTTTTTATTTTTTGAAAGTCTATACAAGTCCAACAATCATGTGATCCATGAACATACATGTACCTAGCTAGACTCCATCTTGTAATAAAAGCATATTAGTTTTTTCATCAAAATTACGTTACAGGGGAATTCATTTTCATAAAAGCTCCATCAGAGTGAAACTTTTGTTAATATCAGCGTATCAATAGGCTTGTTAAATAAGTTCTAATGTAATATTGACATTTTCCTCTTTCTTTCACCTACGCTAATATTCCGCAACGAAATTCTATAAATTATTTCTCTCAATTGTTCAGGGACAATATGACCATGTTATATGTGCCTTGCTGACAGTTTTGCACTGGTGCTTCTGAACAATTTCCTCTCTCAAATCTTGTGATTAACGCCTCTGCATAACGTTCAATATGGTACTCACTACACCAAGTCAGTGAAGCGATTCGTGAAGTTTGGCAACCACAATTACAATGTCAATACACAATATTGCACTATACATAAATGTATGTACCTGGTTGAAAAACATTTTATGACTAATAACGAAAGAGAAAATGGTGTTAAAACACCAATTTAACAAACTAGGTCATATCGGGACCAACATTAAAAGGAGTAGTGTGTCTGTCCTAATAATTTATAAATTATTCAAACAAGAGCAATGCTACCGCTGCAATATACGTCCACATTCTTGCTTTGATTGATATGGTATTTTTAAAACTTAAAATGAAGAGAATGATGAAATGGCTGCAACAACTGTAATATGGCAAAGAGGCACAGAAGGCTAGGTGTTGGGTTTGTTTTGACAAAATTTACAGACTAATTATTAACAAAAAAGTGGGTGTGATACAACCCCAGGGGGTTGGGGCATGCACCAAAATAAATACATGTAGTTGCTGTCTTTACGGTATAAGGAATAAATATGCCAAGTTCCAAAATAATCCATTCAGAATAGCAGTCTGTAGAAGATAACACAAAAATTGGGCATCATGGATCTGACCCAGGGTTGTTAGAAATGGAACAATATAAATAGGTACCAACCTGTTATTCAAATGATTGATATGCTGAATTTGAACAAAATCTGTTCATAACTGCAACTTGTAGAGTATTTACAGACAAAAAATTAATAAAAAAAGTGGTAGCGACACCAACCCTGGGGGTCAGGACATGCACCAAAATAAATAGTTGCTACATGTATCCTTACGGTATAAGAAATAAATATGCCACGTTCCAAGATGATTCATTCAGAATTCCAGCCTGTAGACAAAAAATTGGATCCAAATCTGTGAATATTTTCAACTTTTAGATTATTTACAGACAAAATATTAACAAAAAGGGGGTGTGGCACTGCCCAAGGGGGCAGATCATGCAACAAAATCAATAGTTTGCAAAGTTCCAAAAGGATCTGTTAAGAATTTTGGTCTGTAGGCAACACACAGACACAAACAAAAATTGGGCGTAGCTCCATCCCAGAGGGTCAAGCATGCACCAAAAAAAGGTCATCCCTAGGGTATAAGGAAAAAGTATGAAAAGTTTTCAAAAAAGACGATCGATTAAGAATTGCTGTCTGTAGGCAACTCATACACACAAAAAGAAAATGAGCGTGGCTCTGCCCCAGGGGGTTGTGAATGCACCAAAAATAATATTGATATTTAGGGTATGCAATGTTTCAAGTGTATCCATTAAGAAATGCAGCCTGTAAACAACAAACAAACATATACAAAGAATGGGCATGGTTCTACCCCTACGGATCTGCATGTACCAAAAACAATAGGGATCATCCTTAGGGTATAATAATAAGAATGCCAAATTTCAAAATGCCCATCAACAATATACATGTACGTCCACATTATGAATGTGAATGTATAAATATCCTATGGATGACATAAATGAAATGGGGTTAACCTCAAAATTTTCGGCAATGACATCTTGACACCCTCATTCAGAGGCATCAGGCCAGAAGGACCACAATGACTAGTCAGCACACGTTTATCCTCAGCAGTGGGATCTCATATTCGAAAGATTAAACAATTCTCTTTATTCTACCTCCCTGCCAGATCAAAAAATTGTTTATCAAAGTTAAAGAAAAGTGTGATCAATTTGGATAGTCATTATCTTCAATCATTCAGAAGGACCCACGCTTAGAACTGATCTTGTGCCCTACAAGCCTAAAGTTGGTTTTGGCCTACACTACATGTACATGGGTCAAAACACTGTACATACCTTGCCAGACCAGTAGTCCGGCACCACTGACTTGAGGTTAAACTAGAGTTGAAAAATCTCAACAAATTTTATTTGCCAACACTGGAACTCCTGGTTGGTACTCTGCACAGTACTCACAGAGTCACTCATTGAAGCATCAATCGTAGTCTTGCCATATGATAATTTTTTTTAACAACCATACAAAGTAAGATTTCCAAATCAATGTGCCATCTTGTCGACAAGACACTCGAATTCAATAAAGTATTACGCTTATCTTATAAAGTTATGCTTCACTGATTTCATACCATTAGTGACATTTCATAGCTTATTGAACATGGATGAGAATTTTTCAAGATGATAAATAAACCTCAGGTGGCTCTGACTCCACACAGGATCAAGTATTAATCACCTGGTGTGCTGTCCTTATTATGATAGCTAATTGAAATGAAATGAATACCATGTTCGATGGCAAATATGTACAGACCTGAAAACTTTGATATTTTATTGAGGAATTTTTATTGAAAGAATGGAAAGATAGGGAGACAAATTTTGTTAAACATCCACTTGTGCAAAGAGGTGTTTCGTAGAGAGAGATAAAGAGAGAAATGGAATTTAAGTCCACTCCATACAAACTAGGTCATTTTGAGACTAACATGGTTCAATTTTATTTCAATAATATGCTTGCACGTAGGGGTCTTTAGCAGTGGGGGAAAACTGGAAAACCCAGGTGTTCAGTAGAGGGAGGAAACCGAAGTAGTCTGAAGTACCTGTAGATACTAGGCAAACACCTAGGGCCGACCCAGAAGGGGGGTTTGGGGGGTACACCCCCCCCCCCACCACATAAAAAGAAAATTGTCAAACAACACTTTTTATGAGAAAAGTGTCATAATTGTGTGCTTTATCCTTTATCAAATTCAACCAGGTGCATAATTTTTACCCGATCTGGACAGTAAAACCAATTAAAGCTGTTTAAAGTCACCAGGTCAACCTCCCCCCCCCCCCCCAACACCAAAGATACATTGTCTCAGGAACCTGGTACCCCCCCCCCCCTTTGCAAAAATTACTAGATCCGACCCTGTGAACCATATGCTGTTTGGAAATTTTAGGCGAGTAAATAATGATCAAATCCAGTGGCAATCTGGGAGGTGTCTCAAGGGTCTCCAGAAAATAATACAAATTTTAAAGCATCATGGGTGCAATGGAATCTTAAATTTCTGTTCTGTAATTGAAAACTATATATCGGAAGTTCTAAAATCTGTAGCCTATAAATCTTTATTGAATTTGTTTTAGCGATCAATGGACAGTGCTGCAAGTTGTCGAGTTCCTTTGAGCAAGTTCAGTACAATTTAGTATTTGTCCTTACAATTAAAGAAGTGGCATGCTGTGTAGAACATCTGGAAAATGCATGTAGTTAACAGACATTGTTTAATGATGAATGCCAATAACAAAAAAAATCTTACCCTTTCATAAGACTTCATGAACGCCTGTCACAAAGATTCAGGTTGTAAATTTGATGATAAAACTTATAATTATGTTTCTAGTGGTCACACAAATTCTGAAAAGATATATAGACCAATAATCTATTAGTATACAACTGGGCAAGTTAGTTAGGCATATGCAACGCTCGAAATTAACCACGGCAAACCCGTGGTAAAAGCTGACACAACCCCCGTCTGTCAGGGCATAATTTCACGAAATATTCAAGCTTATGGATACATGTAGCTTACTTCCACTCTTTTTGACACTACAGTAATAATAACTATAATGGTATAATACATGTACCACTTACATTAGTTTTTGTTTTGCATACATGTATGTATAATAAATAAATTGATCCATCTTGAAAAGTTCAGAAAAGTATTGCTTTTAGTGTACAAAAAATGCTGTGGTGCCGTAGCAGTTCCATTCTGCCACAGCATTTTTCATTTTTTGTGCCGTAAGAGAAAGGTCTTAATTTCGACGACTGGTTACTATTTAAAATCACAAAAAGATGATTAAATTCTTTAATTTATTATCTAATTTCATATTATTGTTAATACAATAATAAACATTATAATTTTTTGATTAATATAAGCCATTTCTAGATAGCAGTGTAGTGGTGAAAGACTTATTCAGTCAGGCACTAGATAGCAAGTGCTCTCATTCTAACAGTAAAGTCATTGTATAACTCAAGCTTTCATGATCTCAAAAAAAAGGTTACAAATTCACAGAAACACAAAACAACAAAAAGGTTAATTCAAAACAAACTGCTCATTTTATGACTTTGAACACTTAATAGCAATTTAATTATTCTCTAGGGCATGAGCAAAAGGAATTTATATCTTTTTAACAAATTATCGATAAAAAAAGAGTCTAATCATGAAGTCATATATAAGTCAGATGTGGCTAGAAAAATCTGAATCAGGACTACAAATGAAAACAATATTACAAAACATTCCATGATGATGTTAAAATTGTTTACTTCCTGTGTTTTCAAATAATAAGCATACATATTTAACCATTTTCAGGTAGACTATGTGGGAGATAAAAAAAAAAGGTGAAAACAAAAAAAATTTTTTACTGTGCACCGCCACTGAAATCAAGCAAGAAGTCAATCTAAACTTTCAGATTAAGCAATGTTACTACAATGTTAACTGTATAACGGTAACTAGATATGGTTCCAGGACTCAAGTACTGCTTGGTACATGTAATAATGTTGTAATTGATAATCTATCTCCATTAGTCCAGTCGGAGCAGAACAGTAGGACGTTAAACCCCATTTCATTTCATGTAATTGATAAATTACGCCCACTGCAGCTAAGTCTTCCGAGAAGTCAACAAGGGCTGCTGCATTTGTTTATTAAATGAAAACATTTACAACACACTAAAATCTGATTATGAGTAACAACCCATTACGCTTCTAGCTCTGCCCTATTCTAACATTTAGCATACAAAACATTTAATATCAATTGCCATAATCATAGGAAATCATTGAAAAGTGATAGGCTTCTTTGTCACATGACCTTAAACACTGTGTATAAATTGAAAGTCAATCGAATATTAACTTCAGCTTCCAGAGCATCCACAAGATTTTTTTTTAGAGTGATCTGGCCTCAACTCTGACAGTAATTATTGGAAATCATTGAAAATCAATAGGATTCTTCGTCTTATGACCCTAAACACTGTATAAATCGTTGAAAATCAATAGACTTCTTCATTTCATGACCTTAAACACTGTGTATAAATTTAAAGTCTATCAGATATTAACATTAGCGTCTAGAGCATCTACAAGATATTTGAAAGTGCTCAATGGCAATAACTCTGGCAGCAATCATCAGAAATCAATGAAAATCAATAGGCGTCTTCGTCTCATTTCCTTAAATACTGTGTAAAAACTTAATATCAATTGCCATAATCATCGGAAATCATTGAAAATTGATAGGCTTCTTTTCGCGTGACCCTAAACACTGTGTATAAATTGAAAGTCAATCGAATATTAAACATGCATTATGCAAGAGCTAAATCTGATTATTGCAAGTCTTAATTTAGGCTTCAGATGTTATAGAAATTATAAATTAGATTTTTATTTAAACAACAAGACCAAAATCAACTCTGTAGACCCACGGATGGCTCGGCTACAGCTCGGATTTAAATAGGATTTCACTAATTGATTAAATCAGATAAGGGGTAACCTGATGAAAAAACGTCTGTTAGATCAAGGCTAAATGATAGAGTGTACTTAGTGAGGCCGCTGTAAAGCGTTTCCGTATGCCATTGAAAACTTTACTTGATAATCGAGATATGTAGGTGGAGTTAACGCCTGTCAATCAAACGATCAGTGAAGGTGAAGTCACAATTCGCTACCATTTCTAGGCAAATATTACAACGATGATAACTATGTTCAGAATAAATTTGACTGAATTTTTCAATATATTCTTCTTTCATCATCTACTTTTGAACTGTTATAGCAAGAATGGCCAACTCTCTATAAAAATCTCCCATAATGTATCTTTAAGTTCAGCTTCCAGAGCGTCCACAAGATTTTTTAGAGTGATAAAGGGACATAACTCGGACAGTAATTATCAGATATCATTGAAAATCAATAGACTTCTTCATCTCTTGACCTTAAAAACTGTGTATTAAATTAAATATAATTGGATATTGTGGACATCTGACCAACAGTCGGGGGCGATGACAATTGTGGGCGTATAAAAACAACCTTAACAATTCAAACAGAATTTGAAACATATCCATTAAAAACTGTAATCTATATCGTGTTTACAAAGTTTCTGTAAAGTGAGTGGAGATACATACGCCCCCAGCGGCTGAATCGTCTGAGTGGTCGACAAGGGTTGTCGCATATTTATTCCTTTGTAGGTAATTGGGGGCCTTTACAAGATAGTTCCATACAGATCAGATTATAATTTTGGCCGTTTGAGGGTTCACAAGGTTCTACAAATTGAAACAAGGGTCTCATCTCTGGAAGTAAATTGGTGAAATTTGACAGGCTTTTTCGTTTCACAAATTTAAATGATGCATATAAATTTCATACATATCGGATGATAACTTTCATCAATCGAGCATTAACAAGGTTGAACAAAGTGAAACAAGGGCAATAACTCTAGAAGTAATAAACAGAAATTGCTGAAATTCAATAGGATTCTTCTCTTTACTAATTTAAATGACGCATGTAAATTTCATACAGATCGGCAGATAACTTTTGATGTTGGAGCATTCACAAAGTTCAATAAAGTGAAACAAGGGCCATAACTCTAGACGTAATTAACAGAAATTGCTGAAATTCAATAAGCTTTTTCGTTTCACTAATTTAAATAATGCGTATAAATTTCAGAAAGATCGGATGATAACTTTTGGCGTTGGAGCGTTCACAATGTTCAATAAAGTGAAACAAGGGCCATAACTCTAGACGTAATACACAGAAATTGCTGAAATTCCATAGGCTTCTTCATTTCACTAATTTAAATAATGCATAAAAATTTCAGAAATATAGGATGATAACTTTTGGGGTTAGAGCGTTCACAAGGTTAAACAAAGTGAAACAAGGGCCATAACTCTAGAAGTAATAAACAGCAATTTCTGAAATTCAATAGGCTTCTTTGTTTCCCTAATTTAAATATTGCATATAAATTTCACAAAGATCGGATGTTAACTTTTGGCATTAGAGCGTTCACAAGTTTCAACAAAGTGAAACAAGGGCCATAACTGTAGACGTTATAAATGGAAATTATTGAAATTAAATAGGCTTCTTCATCTCACTAATGTAAACAACATATTTCAATTTTAAAACAAGTGGATGATAATTTCTATGTGGGCGTATAAAAACTAAAGTACATGTAACTATTGCGTTCACAAGCCAATTGTTGATGGACAAACCAGCCAACAGAATGATGGCATGATGCATAATATAACACAATGAAATGTGGGCATATAAAAATCTGTATACATGTTCACATGTTTCCCCAAAAGCAGAATAGAAGGGGGCCCTGACCTGCCTATGTTATTTGCCTCTCTGCTCCGTTTTAATTTGCCAAACTACATGTAAGTACCCCTGCCCCCTTTCTCCTCACTGCAGTGTCATACTGACCGTATCTTCCCACAGTCAAAGTAACACAGGCCCACGGTACATTTCATTTCAAGATGTTTATTACCTACACAAAAAAGTTTGCATTTATCGTGGACAACTATAGTTTGGACACGTCCCATGATGTTTTCTTTTGGCATGAACGAAATAGGTTTGAAAACTGGCAATTTAAATTAAATCACTGACACTATCAACAAGAAAGAGAGAAATGGTGTTTAACGTCCATTCAACAACACAAACTAGGTCATTTCGGGACTAACATTTTATTTCAATAATTCGTTGGCGCGTAGGGGTCTTTAGCAGTGGGAGGAAACCGGAGGACCCGGAGAAAACCCACGAGGTTGAACAGATGACCCTACTCCTTGTCACGTACAACTGGGGATCTATCAATTAGAATCACATTGTATAATCAGACCAGTAAACCACTTGTCATCAAATTTATTAATAATTTGTCAGGACAGTTATTACATATTGAAGCATATCAAAATAGTCTAAAAGTACCCTGCCACAAGAGAATGCATTGGCCTAAAACTTCAATAGGTCTTCAGATACTATTTTTGCATAGTTTTACAACAAAATTATGGTTTTCATTTGAAGTGTTTTACAATATTATAAGCATTTAAAACTTAACCCCACAAACGCTTCAGGAATTTGGGTCTCATTTTGTAATTATTGCACAGCCTTGTACAATTACAGGCTTTTCTTTGGTGTGTAGTGTCTGAGAAAAAACCCCATGACAAAGCCGACTACAAAGTGCAATTTGTTACATGTTAGATTTTAACAGTTTGTAACATTCTTATTTCCGTTTCATATGTTCGTGCCATATATAGTTCGGCTAGTGTCAGTGGCATAACCATGATTTCTCACAGATAGGTAGGAAGTGAGTAGGACACCTAAAGTTTCTGACAAAGATATTTAAGAAAAGAAAGGTATTCATGCAGAAATAATGTATTCTAGTACATTAAACTGTAAAGATTGATAAGTATACTTTTTACGAATTTTTACTTTTATATACAAGGATGCATGTAGGCACATTGTACTGGTTGTTGTTTATAACATTTGATATATTAATTAATACAGTAGTGTCAACCACAAGAGGATTTCCTATTAATACTATTGTAGTGTATTATAGTCTCGGTCATTCAGAACCTCCTGGTCTTCAACGTACAGAGGGTCTGGGACAATTGTCAATATTTGACATAAAGTCCATTGCCCAGGCGTAACCAGGAGTTTGGTTTTTAATGTGTTTGATTATCCAGTATCCTTGGTCAATCAAGTAATAGTTGCGCCCCTTCGAGCAATAAATCCCATAATTCTTGCATTAATATAAAAAAACATGAATTGTGACGACGATTAATTTTAAAAAAAACCATAGATATGGCCCATGAAGAGAGAAATTTTACAATAAAAAAAATTATAAGTGTTGGATATTGAACTTGCATGCAATCAAACGGATTATTTGAAATGGCATTCTTAAATTAAATTCATGGGTGTCATCATCTTGTTTTAGAACGATAATATAGACAATGACCTATTATTCTCAAATGTTGACAACACATCCAGATTAATATTCGTAGAATATTTTTCTGGATGCTAGAGACTAAGTATACCTGTATTAATGCTATTGTTGTTGTAGTCTCTGATTGTCATTTCAGGGATTTGTAATCTATAACCGTGCAGGTTATAGTATAATTTAAATCTTGAATATTTAAGATAATGCATTATTAATTTTAAAAGTGAAAGCCTTCAGATTGAATTTATTTAAACTCTCGGGACAATAACTTTTCTATTCCTTAATTGTAAGTGTGCTATTAAAAGGTGACTAGCCAAGGGTGAAATGTTATGTAATCCTAATGACATGTTAATTTATTATAATCCCTTATTGTTTATAAAACTGTTATAGATAGAAAGTAACTGACAATATGGCCTGCCTGGTGAACATGCCAATCGTATGATTAATCTATTAATTGTTTTATTTACCATTGTTTTATTTCTTATATTGTACATTATTACATCAATGCTTATTTATGTCAACACTTGATCTAGCCAAGTGATTAGAAGTAATTCCATATAAATATGTGATTGTACTTGATACGTCAGTCTTTTAGGTCTATCCGACTTAGTAGCATAGGTACTAGTCGGTTATCCGCGGTCCTGTAAGTGTATGTAGATAATTGTTATTATAAGTTTCCAGTATTAAAGATTTGAAGAACCATTCCAGACTCTTGTAATATCTGACGGACCCCAAGAACCACAATTTCAATTTATTTAAAAATAACAAAGATCCGGGTCAATTATTACATAATATCAACCTCCAGCATTTACAGACAATTTGTCCCGACTACGCTGATATCATTATTTACCTGAAAAATAAAGTAGTACCCGAAAACAAATGTGAGGCTGATAGAGTTGTTAGTGAAGCAAAATCTTTCGATATTATTGATGGCATCTCCACCATATGTAACCACGTTATTTCTGGTCTTATAAAATTAAGACTGAGTCCAAGTAACTTCTATGTGATTTATTAAACATAGATAAATCAACAAATATTTACAAGAAAGAGTGAGCTATGGTTTAGAACGGATCAGATCTCTCTCTTTCTTGTAAATATTTGTTGATTTATCTATGTTTAATAAATCACATAGAAGTTACTTGGACTCAGTCTTAATTTTATAAGACCAGAAATAACGTGGTCACAAATCCCTTGCAAACTACAACGTTTCTGAAAGTTGAATGTTTAAAAGGAATATGATCAGTCCAAAAACTGTTGGTTCTGATCAGCATTTACAAAACACCAAAAGATTATGTACTGTTGATATTTAGATTTTATGTTCTTAATTAAATGTTAAAACAATAGCATGTTTTAAGCCACGAAAAATCAGATATAGTGAGAAAAATGCAAATGGTGATCAGCAGTTTCAAAACAAAAAACAATACATGACATTAACATAAGAAACACCTACACTAACTTTGAACATTCTAGCTTAATTAATAGCATTGTGTTTCTAAAAAAGTGTAGTGGACAGACGAACGAACCAATTTTCTTTGAAAGGCAGGGGACATAAAATGATAAAACATTAGACATTAGAATAAATTCCTTTATGTTTCCTGTATGATGGGAATTAAAACCGGTGAGATGTGCAACTGTCATATCAGGTATACTGTAATTAATGATGTCATCCAGGGACATAACCGTATTCTATAATTATACTACTATAACTATATGTACATATACCCGATACAAACACATCACTGGATTCTAAATAAAACATCAAACGCCATCACCAGATTTCATTTATAATTGCAATTTTACATGCCAAGTAATATAAGTAAATACACAGAGAAATGATCATTTTCCCCCAAGAGTTTTTTTGAAGTGTTTAGTTTGTCATTGATTTGTAACCTGTTTGAAAGATAGGTTGCCAGGCAACGAAACATACGCCCACGGTAGCTAAATCGTCCAAGCGGTCGACAAGGGTTGTCGCACATTTATTCCTTTAATTGGGGGCCTTTACAACACAGTTCCATACAGATCAGATAAATTTTGTCGTTTGAGGGTTCACAAGGTTCTTCAAACTAAAACAAGGGTCTCAACTCAGGAAGTAATCTACAGAAATTGTTGAAATTTGACAAGCTTTTTCGTTTTACTAATTTAAATAATGCATATAAATTTCATACTGATCAGATGATCACTCTGTGGGTAAACGGCGAGTGGTCAGTCTCCTTTTCCGATTATGTCTGGACAGTACTTGAACAGTACACTTGTGGTCCCCCCCCTCCATTTGAAAAGGATATGGGTAAGTTGTACATACATCATATGTTTGACTAATAGTCATCATGCGCAATTTTATTAATTAATTGCATTTTATTTCTTGGATATTACTGTATGTTTGATGCTTTTATACTAACATACAGGTCTGCTTCCAGTCCCACACCTTCCCCCGAAGTCGCACTTTGACATTAAATAATTGAATAGTGAAATATTTTTCAGTTTTGGAACATACATTATAAGAAAAAGATTAGATTAGTTCTTTCGGAATTTTTCATCTTATCTTGTTTGCTCACCTTGGATGCAAACCAGGAAATAAGGCGTCCGTTACGAGCACAAATTCAGGTTTTTTCAGGCAGAATTCCTTTGGTAGTGCTGGCTTCATTACCAAAGCAGCAGCTATAAGATATCAGCCTACTAAAATGACACATGAACAGAGTGTCTATATTGAGATTTTAGGCAAAGAATTTCCATTCAAAAATTTGACAAATAATATGTTTCAGTAAGGGCAAATTTACTGAAAATCGATGTACATGTATATTATTATTATTATTATTATTGTTCGATTTATATAGCGCCTCATTACACGTGAAGTGTTTCTAAGCGCATATCACAAACATATACTTCAAACACACAGAAACAATCAAAATCAGGAGAACATAATTAAACACAATTAAACACAGCTGCCTGTTAGGCGCTATTATTCAAAGGTTTATATCCAACAAATCAACCGGCTAAACTCTATATTGAACTCAGTCGAGGTTTTACCTGATGAACACCTACACCAAGTAGAGTTCAAAAATAAAACACGAAGTTTAAAAGAATCAACTTCATTAACAAAAATTAAACAATCAAAAACTAAACAGATAAACCAAATTCAAACGAAACAAATAAAACAAAGAAAATGAAAAGAGCAGTTCATTACCATTCTACATTAACAAAATAAAGAAAAACAACTTGTGAAAATTTTTTCAAAAAATAAGAGCAAAGTAACACTAATGTTAATACTTTTTTAACGAACTCAATAATAAACATTAAGAGTGTCTAATGAATCGAATCTAATACATTGACTAATGACTGAAGAAAATGGAGCATACATTAGCTGACGTCAAACAGTGTAGGTTCAAATTAATTTTATAAATTAATGACAACAAGTTAGGGGATACATCCAGGGCTGTCGGTAATTTTTCACAGTAATTAGCAGCACTGCTAATCAAAAGTTCAATTTTGCCAAACTTGATTAGCAAATTTAAAAATTGATTTAAAGGACGATGCTTCAGACATTTACAAAGGGCACCATTTACAAAATCATGTTCCAGCGGACCAATAAAACTTATGTCAATTGCCCATCTCATAGACAGAATTCAAGTAAATATTTCTTTAATTTTCTTTTCAGTTAGAATCTATAGTAACCTTTTTTTTAGTTTGCAAGTTCCTGTAAAAAAGGTTACATGAACTTAAATGGGGAACGAACAGTGGACACATCCCAAACACCTCACACCCTCCCCCATCTAAGTATTAGCTTCATATGACAGGTGCTTGTTGACCCTTGTAACACAATGTCTAGGTTAATTAGGCCTAGATCTAATATCGCAAGAGTGCAATATCTTGAACTCCTACAGTACAGTCCTACAGTTTTTTGATAAATAAGAAAACGTTTATCTTATCCATCCAAACATTTGTTTTATTTTCCTCGAAATTATTGTATCGACCCTGTAGAGCTCTGGTCTACAACAGGGTTTCATGATGTAATCGGCAAAAAGGGGTGTACGGATCCTGTTCAATCAACCGATGAAATAATTCTTCTCTCACAGCTGACAGCAGCACTTCGTTACACACTGAACATGATAATTTTACTCCTCTCGAGAAAATCTCGACTCCAAAATGAGAAAACGTCAAAATAATAGAGACTGAAGCACTACTTACCGCCATTTTCTATTGTTCTATATATTATCTCGGGGTTAAGGTTGGTTGGCTTTTTACATTTTATCAGCGAGTTGAGTGGTTACTGGGTCACCTTGCTCGTTTACGATATGTAAATATTACAGTCGAGAGCTTCGCTTCAGGTGCGCGCCATATTGTTTTCTGTGGCAGTCTGCGCAACTTAATTCGCGCACTTTGACGTCACGCCGCGTGAAATCATGATCTATTTCATGCATCAGTCTGTTGGCGCGTGAACATATCGCATTATACAGTTAAATTGACCGATTAAGATAAACTTTTAAAAACAGGACAATTTTTTGCCGTTACAAGGACATTTAAATCTGTAATATTTTCCTATGTCCGCGATTATTACCACAGTTGAGCACGTTTTGTCACACTTTTCCGGTTTCCAACAGAGAGACTGTTAAGTCGGTAGGAATTTAAATCCACAAAAAATGAGGGTTTTTTTCCGACTAACCGTTACCCAATTAAAATTATCTTCACGCCAGTTGCTAGAACAAACATCCTGCTTTATCAAAATTTAAAAAAAAACAACAAAACAAAACAAAGCGAACAGTTCTTGTTATCATAAAATCCGGATTCAAAATTTGTTCAGCTTATATATTATAAACTGGGATATACGACATTCTATATATAGGCCTGCCAAGAATTTGTACAATGTCATTAATAGACTAATATTGAAATATATTCCAGTACAAAAGTCCCCTTTCAATGTTTGTCTTATTCAGTGATAGCAGATGTAATTATCTATTTTTGAAATATATATATCAATTTAACATCGCATCTCTTTCTTTAAAGGTCAGACAAAACGCAATCCCCGCAAATGACGTTATACTCCCCCCTAACTGTCATGACTTTAAAAAAGATTGATTATTGATACTTCAGTCATAGAATATATATAGAAAGTACATTTGATAACATAAATGTAAGACAATGATATGACAATTTCCATACAAATACAATACTTCGAATGAATTTTAAAATCAAATGAATTAAATAAATCCAGTGGATGTCGAGAAACTAATATTTTGTACAAGTACCTCACCATAACACTACATGCGAAATGTGACACGTTTGTCCTCACTAATGCATGAATGAATAATACTAGACATACTACCCTGTTGTCGTTTCACATACAGGTTAGTGCACGGCTTGAACAATTTTGAAAGACACATTCTGGTGTCATTTTGGGTATATCTGGAGTATCTGGAGGCAACTTCGCTAAAACGCAGAAACGGAGATTTAGCACAACATATGACATACCAAATACATTTACTACGTTTTAGTTTTACTGATGTAATAATAATCCAGGGGCGGATCCAGGAATTTTTGCAAGGGGGGGGGGGGGCTGCCAGGTTCCTGAGACAATGTTCCCCCCCCCCCCCCCCGCCCTGCCGCATGGTCTCTATCGTCATTTTGGCGTATATACATACATACACATTGAGCTTTTGAAACAGAGAAATTCAACACCCCGTTTGACGTCAATTTTTATTATGAATTAATACAATGACATTGTGATTCAATTTCATGGATGCAATTATGCATTAATGTGATATCACATAATGTATATATCATTATCCCGTGCTTTGAGTGCCCATTCTGTCCCACATAAAGGATAAAGCACACGGCCGAGAAACTTTTCTCATAAAAAGTGTTGATTTCCCCAAAAAATTATGTACCTGAGCAAAGGGGGGGGGGGGTCGAACACCCCCCCCCCCCGGCCCTGGATCCGCCCCTGTAATCAGATGCACACGAGTTCGACTGAAAATGTTGCGCATGAAAACAATTGGAAAAACAAAGACCATGACCACCAGGCGCCAAAATATCGCCAAAAGATGGGTTTTTTTTTCATCACATAAACTATTCCTTTATTTTTTTTTCAATACCCCAAATCATGTTGAACCGGATTCTTCAAATGGAACTTTTCGTGCACACTTGGAAGTGAACTCAACAATAGCCTTATCAAAATTAACAGTACGTGAGTCATGTGTAGCGTACACGGGACAAATATGAGAGCGGTAACATCTATTTGATAAGACCAACTTCAGGTTTGATCAAAGGTCACGAGATGTAAACAGGGCTTGCGCTAATCCCCACCAACGGCTACCAAATCAGCGCCAACCACCCTCAGAGAATTCAGGTGTCATCAAGGCCTTCTTCCAGGTCTTCCTCCAGTGCCTCCACCACTTGACCATTATAGAGAGCCAGGAGAAGGGAACACCCACCAGAAGATTCGCCTAGAAGATCCAGGATCTGAACAAGTTTGTCAAGCCGGCCATGGAAACACTTACCATAGCCACTACCAGTGAGTCATTGAACCTGAAATTGGCCAAGGACGTCGCCCCATATCTGACGACACACTACCGAGCCATACTAGCGGATAAACTGGAGTACTTGAAGTCACGTCACTTTACCAATACGCTGTACAAAAGTACTCTAGCCATGCCCTAGCATGGACCAAGAAGCCCTACGGCAAGCGACTTCAGGAAGGTGTGAAGGCAGAGTTTCGCCGCCTCCTGTCCACTCTCCCTAACGCTGCCACCCCTCCCCCCTCGCCCATGTAGATCACACACAACCTTACCCAGGACACACCAAAACGAAACACGCTTAACAAGAGAATATTATCATCTGGAGAAGGCACATACATCAACACAGGTTTTGCCTAGCTCACCTTCGTCCTCGATTTGCATATCCCCACTGAACGCTCTCATTGACTGTCTGTCCCCTAGATCGCCCACCATTCCTATCCCTGGCACTAGTACCAAGCCTTCTACCACGAATAGACCACACACCTACAAAGGTAAAGATGCGAAGGGTTTATGGTACCCACCAGCTGTGACGGCCAAGACCCTGGTTATTGGACCCTTTAATCTGGCCTGAATAGTATCCTTTCTCGGGAACTGGGACTGGGAGATCCATAGCTATTGTGGAGCCACAATTTGCCACATCAAACAGAACAGCAGAAATACATGGGACCTACCCTCGAGAAAATGGTTACACGGGAGGAAGCTGGAACAAGGATACACGAGCTAGATCTGCTCGCTGTGGCTAGATCATTCTTCCCAACAACCAAGCCCTTCACCGCACAGATCCCCACTTCTTCTCGATTCAGATCGCCTACCAAAACATCAGCAGCTATAACCAATCGATCTCCACTGTATCTTCACCAAACGCCACCACAATGCCAAACTTCAAGGACAAAGTAAAACTGAGAGGAAACGACGCCATCGACTGGAGCCCATACACGACCAGAGAGGTCATCAACTGCTGGATGGGGAATTTAAACTAGAATCAGGGAAAAGGAATGAGAAGCCGTCTTTAGGACAAACAGTTGTCCATTTGAGCGACAGACTTCTCAGCCCCCTAGAACTTAGCATACATGACAAAGGCCTCAAGCTTATTCCAACCCCCACGATAATATCCATAGACGTCTGTCATTGACTTATTTTTTAGGAACAAACCCGGCAGAGGTAAAAAATTATTCACAGAAAAATCTACATGGAATCCACCAAACAGTTCATTATCACCAGTCCTTCTAAACACTTTCGACCAAATGAATACAGAAATATTATCCCTTTAACCACAAATCACAAATTCCAAATCCCAACCGAGCCGAAAAAAAAAATTAAATACCCCCCCCCCCAAAAAGACAAAAAAATAATAATTAAGAAAAGCGACAAAGGCTCGCGTTGTGTCATAATGAATCGCAAAGGCTATGTCTCTGAGGCAGAAAAGCAATTAAGTAATCCTAAACATTAAATTAAATTAGATGCACCCATCTTTAAGGACACCGCAACCTTAATAAACAACATATTACATGGATTGCAAAACAAGGAATACATAATAGCAATATGATTATATATCCGCTAAATCTGAATGCCGACAACGACATCTCTATATGCTACCAAAAATATATAAAAATCCAGAAACGGAATTGTTTATACCTGATAAATTAGCCAAAAGACGCCCAATAATATCAGAATGTGGCAGCGAATCATACGACGTATTACAATATATAGACCATTTCTTACTGCCCCTAACATGCTTCCTACCTTAAAGACACCAAGGATGTCCCTGGGCATAACATCTTTCATAGTCTGGACGTACACACTAGACGAATTTTGGACGTTTTTCATCATTTTGAACAATCATCTTCCATCTGAAATTTAACCGCAAATGTAAGCCATAACAGCATAGATTTCCTTGACATCGCCGTTTTTAAAAGTAGAACTTCAAAAAACACAGGCCAAATGGAAACTATTTTTCAAGGAACCGACAGACACCAATTACTGTTCAAAAGTTCCTTTCACCCAAAACATGCGTTCTCTGGCATCATAAAATCTCAGCTTCTCTGTTTCCATAGGATATGTACCCAGAAGGCTGACTTTGAGCCAGCATGTACGCTGGTATTTAGAAAACTAAGAGAAAGGGGATACTCCAAACTCTATCTCGGACGTATAAAAAACAATACTCTAGCTGAACTCGCCGCCAAAGAAACAAACAATATGCAATGAACAGTTAAAACCAAAACTTGTGGCCATCCCAGATGCCAAATATGCAAAATCATAAACATATCCGACCAGTTCCGTAACAAAACATTTGGCACACAATTCCTAATATTAGACCAACTTTCATGCTGCAGTTCAAATACAATTTATCTAATTTCATGTAGACAATTTGACAAAATGCACTTACGGAAAGAATTAACGGTTACCGGTCAGACAGTCACCAAAAAAGACAAAACGGTCTCAATTCACTTCAACCAACCAAATCATGACATTTTAGATCTCGTTGTTACGCCAATAGAAAACACTAAGAGCGATTTTGAAACCCCAGAAGAAATTAAAACATTTAGGCTAACAAGAGACAAATTCTGGCTTGACAAATTGAAAACAACAATCCCCTTAGAGTTGAATATTCATATGGGTAGCGCAATAGCCCCCTTTGTAGTCCCATTTAGCGCAACAGCAGCAAGTGCGTCCAAAATCATCAGAAAACACTATATTGTTCTTCAGGAAAATCACCCGAAAATCTTCATACAGAAATTTATAATTGCATATTCTAAAAATAAAAATCTGAACGACATCTTAGTGCGCAGTAAATTAGACTAAATAAGACCAGTCCTTACAGTAACCCAA